CCCCCAGCTGTTTTTTATTTTTTTACTTCATTTCCATTCCCACAGATCCAACCCTAGCCCAGTCCTTCTTACCTCAAGCCCGTTCATCCATTCATTTATTCACTCAAAGGCATGCATTGAATGCTTTACTAGTGACACTTACTTGTTGGTGGCTTTGGGGTCAGCATGTAGAAATACACTGTGTCTTTTTAAGGAGTTTATAATTTGGAGAAGTCAGGTGGGTAAATACCAAAATGACAAAACCTCCCCTTCCAGGCAACATTCAAAGCTCTTGCCTGAGGTGCAGAAGGTGCACAAAGAAGGGGATCCCTTAGTCCTCCCAGAACACTAGCCTCAGAGGCTTAGTGTCTGGGTTCAGTCAGAGTACAGTGAGTTTCCAGGAGCTGGACCAGGCAGGGAATTGCAAGAAGTACAGGCCTCTGCCTGGGGGAACATGATGCACGCTGGAAGCAGCATCCCACTGCCCAATTCCAGGTTCTAGTTCAGCCCACATCCACTCAGCTTGGCATGCGAGGCCCCGCATAAATTTCCCCATCTTACCCAACTCAACATCTTCTCTGGCTGTGCCTACACAGTAACCTCAGTTAAACTTCTCCATTCCCCACTCAAACCCTCCATTGTTGACCCCTGAGCCTGTGCTGAAAATCTTGCCTGTCCTAAATCCTCCACCTCACCACACTTTCCTGCCCAACCTTATCTTTCCTTGTTTTAACCTCTCTCACAGTATTCTGTAGTTGTAGACTTAATTCTTCAATGAATGCTAAATTGTATTTATGTCTCTGAATTATCCACAGCAGCAGGTTGTGGACATGGCTGGGGACACGACGGGAGTTCAATAAATATCCGTATCTTGAACCACTAATGAACTAGCTCCCCACATTGGCTCAGGAGGCGGCCAGAACATCATGTCCCGTTTAGAAATTTAGAACACATGATGCATCCTCTGCTAACTTTTAACCAAATCCGAGCTTAGATTACATCTGCAGGTGGTACAAGTGGGTAAAGTTCTGAAGGACACAGATAAAAGAAATGATGAACTCTTCTCCAAACTCTATTATAATTAAAACAATTGCTGCCACCTGACCCTTGGTTTCAGCATGAAGGGGACAATAGGGAGTGGCAGGGACGGGGCAATAAGAAAGTAAAGGTTTCAATGAAGGCTTCAATTAATTGCTGCTGTGGTGGAATCCCTACCTGGTATTGCCATGTACTTCAATTTTTTGAGAAAATTCAAGAATCTGGATTGTCTTATGTGACATGCCCCTGCTGCATGAAAGGAAGGAAGGAAGGAAGGAAGGAAGGAAGGAAGAAAGAAAGAAAGAAAGAAAGAAAGAAAGAAAGAAAGAAAGAAAGAAAGAAAGAAAAAGAAAGAAAAGAAAGAAGAAAGAAAGGAAAGAAAGATATAGGCCAACACTTAGTGGGTAAACACATTTCTATAGACCAAATTTACTCTGGAGGCTGCCAACTCACACCCTTATCCTAACTGATGAGCAGGGCTGTTGCTGACCCACATTTCCTCCCAGCCTGACTGCTTTTTTATGTTCTGTGACTGATGACACGTGGTGATTCATTTTTCTGTTTTTACACATACATTCATATATACCCAAACATACCCCATGAGGTTAGTGTGAAGGGAAACCAAAATAGAGATAATTTCTTACTTATTTCTAGAACTAGAGAGGACAGCTAGAATTTGAGGGCCATAGGGTGTCTGGCATCATGGGAACCCCCAAGCCCAAGGTTAGGCTGGTTCCGATGTGCCGTCCTGGGGTATCTCCTAGAACCCCCTTTCTCATTGGGCCAGGTAGAGGACAGACAGTTTGGGAGTCCAGTTGCATCACACCTTTCTGGAACTTTCAGATGGGGAGAGGAGAGAGAGAGAGCTACAGCTGGAAAAATCAAAGGCCCAAAGCTTACTACCTGCATGGCTGACCTTTCAATTTCCCATCCTGGTTGCTTTGGCTGTGTTACAGCAGTGTATCCCCAAGTTTAGTTCACAAACAGACCTTAGGGTCTTGTTACAATGCAGATTCTAATTCATTGGTGTGTGTGGCGGGGCGGGGGTGGGGGGTGGCAAGGATTTGAGATGATTGCTTCTAACAAACTCTTGGGTGATAATACCAAGGCTTCAGCTGCACTGGGTAGCCAGGATCAACAGGCTCAAGAACAAGCTTTGGCTTTGATCTTCCACTCAGAAGATCATTACCAGTTCAGCTAGCCTTATCTCTTAGGGAAATTTTCTGTTAACTTGTCCCAACCTGGTCCTCTCCTTGTACTGGGACCATCTTTCTCACATGATAGAGTGGTGAGAATGTGGGCTATGGAGCCAGGCTATCTGCCTTTGAATTCTGACCCTCCCTCCTTCATAATGTGATTCTCAGTAAGTTATTCGACCTGAGGGACTTCAAATTCCTCATCTGTAAAATGGGGATTATGATAGCACTGCCATCACCAAGTTGTCATGAGGTTAAAAGGAGCAAGAATGAGTGTCAGAGTCTGGAATGGTGCCTGGCACATCAGAAGCGCCCCCTCCTCAACTGTCAACCATGAGTTTCAAGAGCACACGGTGAACCAGAGTGCAAATGCCTTCCTTTTCTTGATTAGAGAAAGATCCTCCCCCGAAAGACGATATCCCTTGTACCCATGACTTCAGCTGGAGGGAGTCACTCACTTACGGAGAGTGGGAAAGAGAAAACCCCTCCGGGCCACAGCCCCTGTCACTGCTCAGCACTCTGGCGGCCTCCACCTGGCCAAGGCTGGCGCCACCCATAGGTACATCAAGGGGACCAATCCGGCTGCCTGAGGACAGCCTGGAGTTCCACCTCAGAGCTGGGTCAGGCCTGGAGGTCCTGAAGGTGATGCCAGAGTGTTCTGGGCTGGGAGTAGGGAAAGCAGTGACCTTATCCGTTTTCCTGCCCTGCTCTCTGATTCACCAGGGCTGAGTGAAACCCTCAGGGTGACACCTCCAGGGCCCCAAGATTTCAGTATGTGGCTCTAAAGTAATAGACACTACTAGAGTGAAGCCATGACAGCTAGAATTCTCACTCCTTGCTGTGTGGGGCACAATGAAGTCCTCTGTGGACTTCCTGTGGACTCTTCCCTCCTTCTCCTTGCTCCTCAGAGCTCTTCTAGGGATTGGGGTGCAGAAAAGCAGAAGGAGCTGGACTGCAGGGCTGGGGTGGGGGCAAACTTCCCTAGGGCCCCAGATGTTCTGTCCTCGTGCTCCAAGGCTCCCCCATCCATTATTCACTCTATAAGCATTTTGTGAAGTACCTCACATTCCTAAAGAAGCTTGGGTGATTTAAGTTTTTTAAAGTAAAATACTACCAGAGAACCCTTAACTCTCCCAAGAGATTGTTATTAATAGTTGACAATTTAAAAAATTAGGATAAGTACAGTAGTCTCCCTCCCCCACCTGCTGTTTTATTTTCTGAGGTTTGTTACCCACAGTTGACTGTAATCTAAAAATAATAAATGAAAAATTCCATTTTTGAGAGAGCCATATCCACTTTTTTGTTTTGTTTTGCAGTACAGGGGATCGAACTCAGGACCTTTTCCTTGCGAGGCAGGCATGGCACCACTGAGGTACGTCCCTGGTCCCATATCCACTTATTATAAATATTGCTTAATTATTTGTTGTCATTAACCTCTTACCATGCCCTATTTATGTATGTATGTATTTATTTATTTATTTTTGTTTGGTTTTTTGAGACAGGGTCTCACTATAAGTAGTTCAGTCTGGCCTTGAATTCACTCTACAGTCCAGGCTGGCCTTGAAACTTGTGGTGATCCTCCTACCTCAGCCTCCCAAGTTCTGGGATTACAGGTATGCACCACCCTTAATTTATAAATGAAATGTTATCATCTTTACATTTCTGTAGGGGAAACACAGTACTGTACCGATAGGACTTGGTACAGTTCAGTTTCAGGCATCCTCTCTGGTCTTGGAACACAGGCCCCACAGATAAGAGGAGACTGCTGTCAGGTGATTTATGTGCTTTCAAACACTTCTGCACACACAGGAAATTCTATCTGAGCTGCCATTTCACACTGGGGAAAGTCTATGCAGTGCTTGCCAACAAGGCTGTGCGCATTCAGCTTTGCGGGTCTCCATGAGGATGGAGGGGAGGAGAAAGTTGCAATGAAGGGAAAACCAGAGTCATCATCATCTGCAGTGACAGCACAGCTCTCTCTTACCCCAGCAGTACCTACTTCTGTGTCCTCACCACCACACACAAGCACAGCCCGCCTGTATCTCACCACCAGCCGAACCGGCACAGGAAGATAAGCTCTCAAGGCAGATGGAGCCAAGAGACAGAGAAAGGAAAGCAAGGGAAACAAGACTGGAAGAGGCAGAAGAGAGCAACATGGAGGTGGCAGGAGGGTCAGAGAAGAGGAGATACAAAGAGAAGTGGTAACAGAAGGAAGCAGAGACTTGGGAGAAGAGACAAGGAGAACAAGAGAAGAAGTACATCACTGAGGGATGCCTCACCAAGGTTCTATTTATCTAATTTAAAGCTTGAACGTAAAGCCTTTAAGCAAAAAAGGAGGTATGTCTTCTCCTCCTTCTCCTTCTCCT